AGAGCAACTGAATTTATAATCGTGCACAAATCATTCACAATTTATCTTACCCAGGGAGCAAGAGAATCTCGAATTCAAAGAGGTTATTTTTTCCCTTTGTTTTTACATACAGAGGATTCCCTGTTTTGCACCGTTACAAAATAAAGCTTAAATTTTCGCTCTCTGATTTTTTAATTTAATTTTTTGATCCATATTTGTTTAAATTCATGTCAATTACACTCCAAAAACGCAGGTTTCGTATTAATCCAATGTTGGGTCAAATATGGACAAACAAGTATTAAAATTGTAAAATAATTGTTTAAATTTAATTGGAAATAATCAGTCATAATAATAACAAATACATAACCCAGCGGCTGAGTTTGCCGATATTTATCCCAGTATTGGTTAATACAACCCAACACTTTTAAAGTGTACAAAAATATTTTCTTATAACCAGAAGCACAACTTTTAATAATCTAATCTAGAATTAAACACTACAGCCATTCAGATTCAGTTTTACCAGGAAACTATTGTCCAAAAAAAATGTGCGTTGTATTAACCCAACAAATACAACCAGAAGCACAACTTTTAATAATCTTAAACATAACAGACATTCAGACTTTGTGTTGTACCATGGAACTATACTCAAAAATAAGCATAAACATAAATGTATTATTTAATAACCAGAAGCACACGTATTAATAATCAATTCTATAATTAAACATTACAAAGATTCAGACTTTGTGTTTTACCATGAAACTCTCAAAGGGTGGGCTGCAACATTGGTTAATACAACCAATATTTTTAAAGTGTACATAAATGTAGTATTTAATAACAAAAAGCACACCTTTTAATAATCTAATCTATAATTAAACACTTCAGACATTCAGATTTAGTTTTAACATGAAACTATTCTCAAAAAAATTATGGGTTGTATTAACCCAACATATACAACCCAACATTTTTGAAGTGTAGATAAATTGATTATGTAATAACCAGGAGCAAAAATTTAATAATCTAATCTATAATTAAACTCGACAGACATTAATGACTTATACAGACTTTCTGTTTTGCCATGAAACTACACTCTACAAATGGTGGTCTGTGTTAACCCAACATTGATTAATACAACCCAACATTTTTGAGTGTAAATATTTTTAATAACTACACTCTAAAAAAATGCTGGGTTATTTCGACCCACTTCTCGGTATAATACGGACTAACCACTGCTGTTGTGTTTTTGTTGGTGTTTTGTTTTGTTTTTTTCAAATAAGAATGAATAGGACCAAATGTAACCCAATGTTTGGGTTAGTATATATTTTACCCAATTTGTGTTTAAATAACCCAGTATTTTTTAGAGTGTAGAAGTACAAATTTTAATAATCTAAATCACAAAAAAAGGATGTAATAAACCAATATTGGGTCAAGTATAGACAAAACCAACTTTTAAAAAATCTAATTTAAATTGAATCGACAAAATTAACACAACGGTTGAGTTTGTCCGAATTTGACCCAACTTTGGGTTAAAATAACCAGATTTGCTTCAGAGTCGAGATGCTGATATGGCATTATATAAAAATATACACACATTCTCTTTGGATTTCAATGATAACAAGGCCTTTCTTTTACAAATGCGACGTTAATTTAAGATGCATCATTGTTAACATTAAAATAATTAAATATTTTTTTAAACTAAAAAGGCTTATAAGTGATTAAAACTGTGATGTTGTTGTTTTTTCCTCAGAGGAAGCAGCAGCGGCTTCATTCTGTCAGCGCGGGAGAAAGAAGCGGGTTCCTTACACAAAATTTCAGCTGAAAGAGCTCGAGCGTGAATACAACACCACTAAGTTCATTACAAAGGAGAACAGACGGCGGATCGCTTCTTCTACCAACCTGTCTGAGAGACAAGTAACTATATGGTTTCAAAACCGACGGGTCAAGGATAAGAAGAGACCTGACGTCTGCATCAAATGTTAATCCCATTGATATCTTTGTAGAGTTGGTTTGCATAAAGTAAAGAGTATATTATAGTGGGATACAATGTAAATTATACTTAGAAGTAATGTTAAACAGTTGGTTGTATTTGTCAATCAATGAATTCTCCCGTCAATTTCCTCTTTCCCATACACTCAAAATGTTATACTCTACATTTCCTTAAATTTGAGTGCATAACTGTGTGCCATAGTTGTTTATATCAGACTTTTATATGCAAAAAAGCTATAACATTGATTTCAAATAAAATACAATTAATAATAATGTACTTTATATCTACAAGTTTAATTACATTGAACTGAATATAAAAGCATTATACAGAATACTATTGTGAAACTATTAAATTCATACGATCTCGGCTGTTTTCCGCCCCCCAAAATGTATTTATATTTCGTTAAGCTCACACCTCTATAAATGTAGTTTTGTGGTCTTTTTTAAAAGTAGAACTATAATTTTATGTTGGTGTATTTTGATAAGCATAACATACAAATAATTTGTATAAAAGAGTGCTTTAGATGTGAATGGTCTACATAAACACACGATCGCGTTAAAGTATAAACTGAGTAGGCAATTTGTGAATTTTAGACTCGGTGTCTGAATAAGTTAATATGAAGTGTGCACTATTAATGAAAGCATATTTTAAGCACGCAATCAGTACAATTTTATACATGCACACACATAATACATTTCGATAGTTGTTTGGTAATCAAGTGACAAGTTAATTCTTCCGGGGGAATAAACAACTCCTTAAAAATCTGCTCAAAAATGTGTGCTGTATTTTAAGATAAAACTGCACTTATAAAAATACCTAAACATCATCTTCTTTTTTTGAAACTTCTTTCTTCTCATTGACCTTGAGACTCTTTGTCAGACTAGACCTTGACTGCAAGAGGTCTCATAAATAAATACTTGCAACCAATTCATGAAGCTGCGCCGCCATCTATCGGTCAGCATTGTGCATTGCATTCAGATCAAATTCACTTTTATATAAAAGAAATAAACATTTTGAGAATTAATCTAACTGCTATGCACCGACGATGGCGTTAAGATTAATATGTAATATAATGAGTTATATAAAAAAGCCTAGTATTAAACTGATCTGTCAGAAAGGTGGCAACGTGCAATGTTTTGAAGTACGGAGTACTCAACATTACCTTTGGTAAATAAGGAACAAAAACTTCCCTTGGAGGGCTGAGAACTCGCAAAACACAACACGTAACTGCTGTACGTTTTTTATTGCATGCGAATCCATACAAGGGTCTAGCGGAGGTATGCTTCAATATTGTATGAAATGAATTATATCTCAAGATCGAGCTGTTTTCAGATTTTAAAACAACCATGTTTCAGAGTATCTACAATCAGGACAATTTTAAACTACTCACACATTTTACTTTGGCTTCCAGGTGAAATGCACTTGGACTTGTTTTGCTAAAAAATGCGTCTGGACTTTGACCTTGAACTATCCTGATGTACCATACACGATTAATACAAGCAATCTTTTTTTAAGTTGAACATTTGACGTTTCTGGGATTTCAGCAAATAACAGTGTCTGAAATAGCCTAAAGCAATCCCATTTGAAAGGTTTTCATGAATTTACTGGACCCGTAAATAGTGGGAGGCTGTACTGTCGCCACTCTTTCCGGAAATTGCCTGTTTACAATAGTCATTTTGACTGCACGTGCACTTTCTTTAAACGTGTTCAGGATCATTCGGACAAACCTTTGAAGGTAAGGTAAAATGTAACTTGCATGGACTATATACTACAATTTAGGAAACATTCTACACACCCGATATTTGCTTGTTGTAGCTATTTGAGTTCTTGATGGTTCGGTATCTCAAGACCAGTTTGTATATATATATATATATAATTTAGATGTTGTTCTTTCAGTAACAAAATAGCAATTGCATTAGATTAAAATTGTGGTCTATGAAATGTAAGGGTTTGAATTAATTAATGTGCATAAACATTGCTCAAAAACTGTAAAATACTTTTTAATGTGTGAAACCTTCAAAATGTGTAAAATGCGTTTTTTAATTTTATGAAGAACTTTAAATTATATACTTAAAACTAAACGTTGCAGAAATATGTTATTTGACTTTATCCCTTTTTCGGATATGCAAAAGGAAGGTATATCACAGCAGTGTTGAGCGCGTTTTTACTATTAAAAAATTGTACAAATGTTAATAAAGCACACATTTCCTCATGCATACAGTTTATACAGCATAGCGCTGCTTTTGAGACCAACTTTAATAAAACATCGAATACAAACTGAATGTTTTGTAGAGCTCTTTACAAAGCAAAACATATTTAAAAGAGGAATCACAATGTGTTGTTAGTAACAGCCTTACATTGGTTAAATTTAATTACGTTATGCTATAGCTTTTACCGATTATACTAATAATAATTAGTAACATACACTTGCATTGTGGCATGACTTTCAATGCATGTTTGAATCGCATAAGCAAGCCAAACGCTTACGCTTAAATTAGCGTTGTCAATATTATGCTCTACATCTTTATATTCCAGAGGCATGTCAGTGTAACAATTATCTTTTTATTATTTTTTTTATTTTAAATGTTTGATGTTACATTAAATATTTAAAACAAAATAATAACAATGAACCTTGTTCATGGACAAATAATACAAAATAAATCGCTTGAAATAAATTGGCAAGATGTTAAATTATGCACTCTAAAAATGTTGTGTTATAGTAGTTGGCCAGATATAGACAATCCCAACAGTTGGGAAGTTTAATCGAAATAAATTAACTAATCTATTGGGTGGTTTTGTTCATATTCAACCCAACGTTGGGTTAATACAATTAGCATTTTTAGAGTGTGGCCGAAGCAATGTTTGGCTGTTTGTTAATTTAAATGCTTTTCATGCACTGCCAATGTATGACTTTGCGGCACTACTGCCACATGGGCGTGGTTAGCCGTTTTACTTTGCATATCACGTGATGGTGCATTAACAAATCAACAATTACCTTGCTCGTATTCTTTAGGGGTAACTAAAAACGGTTTTAAGAAGCGTTCCTGCGAGCTCGTCAGAAATGTGCGAGCACAATCTCCTAAGTTCTGGCTATGTCGCTCCCCTTTTGAATTTCCACTCGCCAGACTCCTTGTACCTCCAAAACTTGCGAGGCAATGGAGTGCATCTCTCCGGGCTCCCGCAGATGTCCTACAGTAGAAGAGAGGTGTGCTCGCTCCCGTGGAGTTCTTCAAATTCGTGCACTGCTCCGGCCCAGAGCCGCGCCTACAGTGGCTACTCTCAGCCGTTTTTCAGCAATTCAGCCGCTGTGAGCGCTAGCCTCAACACCCACAAAAAGGGCTCACTGGAGGAATCCGGGAGGTACTACTTCCAAGATGTCAGCCACAAATCAGAGGAGCCAGGTCGACCTAATGCAGCTTACGCAAGTGAGCAGAGCTCTGCCAGCAATGGACTTTCAAACCTGGAAAGGCGACAGCTGAACGCAGTTGCACCCAATGAACTGAGCTGCATTGAACAGCCAGAGAGCGATGCTTCAAAGCAGTCTGTCAGCTCCATCGCTCCATTCCAGCCGTCACTGAGCGCCCAGAATATCAGACCAGCTTTCACCGATGGTACGCTCAACTTCTCCAATGACCCTTCCGCCATAGACACCAATGGCACTCTGAGACTTTGATTTCAGTGGATTTTACTCTGTAGTTTTTATGTGTGCGATGTTAGCCTACTACAAATGCTGGGTTGTTTTAGATGATGTGAAGTTGGGTTTATATTCACATATTCAGACTTTCTCCTTAATGATATAACTTCAGAAAAGCATTCTGTGCAATTTCTAAATGGTGAAATCATATATAGCAATCAATGACTATCAAAGTACATTTATATAGTGCTAATGTTGTTTTGAAGTCATATTTACACATGATTTCAGTCGGAATATTCAAAGCACCATGGTAAACAACATAGGGACCATGTCACAAGTTGTCACTGAACGAATGTGCAAATATAAAACCAGCCTTACCTCAATGTTTTTTTTTTTATTTGAGTGTTTAAATCAAGGTTATTTTTTTGTATTACGTTTAAATTACACATTTATTTCGTCGTGTTTTTGTCTATATTTATTCCCAGCATTGGGTTAAACAACCCATTATTTTAGAATGTAGTTTGCTTGGTTATAATCAAGCAATTTCAGATATTGAGTTTGTTTTTAGACACATTAAAATGATGTTGTCTGTTTACATATGCTGCACGACACAGTGTTTCAAATATGAAAGGGCTATCTAAATCGTGCTATACTGAATCTGTATACTCTAAAACAAATTCTGGGTTATTTCAGCTCAAATTAAGTAATATCTGGATAAACCAAACTGCTGAACTAAACTGTTTGAATTGTGATTTTAGCAAAATTTTAACCCAGTGGTATGGTTTGTCCATTATTTCACCCAACGTTGCGTTAAAACAACCTAGGAGTTTGCTTGGTTACAATCAAATATAGGGTTTGTTTTCAGACACATTTTAAATAATGCTGTCTGTTTGCACGTGCTTCAGGACATTGTGCCATGACCACTGTACTATTTTTTAAAAATCCGTGTTTTAACAACGTTGGGTCAAATTTGGTCAAATGCAAAGTTGGGTTATTTTTGTGTTTAAGTTAAATTACACTTTCTTTTTTAAACCTCGCGGGTTTTTTTTATATTTGACCCAATGTTGAAGAGTGCAGTTTGCTTGAGGTATAAAGCTGCTCTATTGAGTTGGTTTTCAGGCACATTTTAAATAATGTTACACATTTACATTTCTCGAATTGGCGTTTTAAATGTGCCAGGGTCATCAGAGAGTTGTTTTACTTTTGTTTGGGTTTTTTCAAGCCAAATTGCTTTAAACGTGGACAAACCAAACTGCTGAATTAATATGTTTGAATTCAATGTATGGCCCAATATTAACCCAATATTAGGGTTTGTCTATATTTTATCCAAATTTGGGTTAAAATAGCCCAGAGCTTTATGTTTCACATTAATTTTCAAAAGCATTACAATGATGATGATAACGATGATAGTTAATCCTTTTTAACCTCCTCCCCAGGACTGCCGTGGTGTCCCTCACAGGTGAGGTCAAGAAAAAAGAGAAAACCTTACACGAAGCCCCAGCTAACCGAACTGGAGAACGAATTTATGATGAACGAGTTTATAAACCGACAGAAACGGAAGGAGCTTTCGGACAGATTGGAACTGAGTGATCAGCAAGTCAAAATCTGGTTTCAGAATCGCAGGATGAAGAAAAAGAGACTCATGATGCGCGAGCATACCTTCACTATATACTAAGATTTTTTGTTGTAATTGGATTTATTAGGGGATCCTTCATACAAGTGACTTTTCTTTTACGCTGATAAAAATACATCTATTTAACTGGAAATTAAAATTTACCACAAACCAATTAAAAGTAATTTAATATTCAATCGGAATATTTTGAGTTTTTATTTATTTAGTATCGCTGCATGTGTATGTGTCTGGTGGTGTGAATCGAGAATCTGAATGATGTATATATCCGAATAAAGTGAGCTTTATGGTTAGGAACCACAGCAAATTTAGGCTCGTGTATGTTGGATTAAAAACATACATTCTGGCCCCATTAAAACTACACTGGGCAGCTAATATAGCTAACTGGCTCATTAAATATTCAGATGTTCCATAACATACCTTTGTGTTAAAAACCTAATTTGTATCTTGCACACTGAATACGTTTTGTTTTGTTTTTTCTTAACCAAAAGTGTAATGTAAAATATTTATTAAATGTTGTAAATTCTGCCTTATAATAAACTTTTGCATTATTGTGTGATGTCTGTCTGTTTAATTTCAGTGGGTGTTTGTAAAATTCTCTAATAAGGAGGATTTGCGTCTCGAGTCCAAGCTCAAGGTCGCTTATGTTAAATCGGCTCTCGTGATTAAGGTCTTCTTCAAGTCGTTTTAAGTTTACCAATACATATGACAGAATTAAACTATGAAGTAAACTTTTATATAGTAAATTTGTATTTATCAGTGATGTTGGAATTTACAAATAATTATTTTTGACCGTATTTACGCTTGTCAATATGTGATTACACGTGCGAACTGTAACTTTACTTATTTAGCTTTTGGCTTTAAGAATTCAGTTCAAATTGCGTTCAAAATGTTTATATATAAACTTACTGGTTATTAATTGCAATAATCTAAAACAAGTATATGGAACAGGACAAACGGGAGAAGATTAGTAGATTGTTTTTTTGCGTGCACGTGTACATGATACGAAGACAAAACTGTTTTATACCAGATATGGAAAATAAATTAATACCACCAGAATTACAACTCTGTACGCCTGGACATATATAAAGAAATGCTGTAAAATATATGGGCTCTGTAATACCTATTTAATGCACAGATTTGTTTCCTCGTATATATTTGATTTTCTGTTCATCTGCAATGTAAACAATGCGACACTATTGTCTATGTATAAAGCGAATACATAAAGATTTCGATTAAAAATGTCAGTTTATTTTGCCAAAAGCTAGTGATAAATTAATTATATTCATAAAATAAAGTAAATAAATATTTAGTTCTAAAATACAAATGTATTTATTGTAAGCAAACTAGTCTTAACTATTTACAGACAAAACTAACCCGTGGTTAAACTCACAACACTACCACTGTACACCTTCACTAAATATTTTAATTGTGCTATATTGTCGGCTTAGTCCCTTTATTCATCAGGGGTCGCCACAGCGGAATGAACCGTCAACTTTTCCAGCATATGTTTTACACAGCAGATGCCCTTCCATCCAAAACCCAGTACTGGGAAACACCCATAAACTGTTATTCACACAAACAAACACTACGGCCAATTTAGGTCATGTTTTATTCACATAATAATATACTCTTATATATATATATATATATATATATATATATATATATATATATATATATATATATATATATATATATATATATATATATATAAACACCTAAAGGTGATCTTTATAGCGATCTTTGAATCCTTGAAGAGCCTTTAAGATCCATGCAACCTTTCAATTCAATAAAATTGTAGGAAATGTACGTCCTTTAATTATTACAATGTACTTCATACTAATAAAAAAATGTTCGCTACAAGGTTGTTTGGGGAATCAAAACATGTTCTTCAGTAGTAATGAGGGGGGAAACTCATTTTAGAACAAAGCAAATGTATATTATCTTGAACATTATTAAAAATGTTCATTATTTATATTTAAAAAAAACTACACTCAAAAGAAGAAGAAGAAAAGAAGAAAAAAAACGGACTGTTTCTTCCCAATTCTGTCTGTAATATGGACTAACCCAAGTTATTTGTTTGTTTATTATTATTATTATTAAATTAATAGGAGCAAATTTAACCTAATGTGTGTGTTAGTAAACATTTTACCCAAGTTCGGTACCCCAGCATTTCTTATAGTTTATAAATAAATACACAAAGTCCAAAATGAATAGGTTTGGTCCAACTTATATGTCATCAGCATTTCAACAAGCCATTTTAAAAGCGATGAGTTATAAGACTGAACAAGCAAGAAACAAGCGGAATGGAATTTTCTTGAGCGCACTGCCAGACGCTCTGCGACCGCCATGGAAACTGGGGGCGCCAATACAAAGTTAAGGTCAAGTTAGTTGCTTTTTTCCTTTTTCGTCTCGAAAACAGACAAATCTCGACAGATTTCTGCATATTTCTACAATTTCCATATTACAACAACTAAAAGACGCTATATACATGTATGCATAATTTATTTAGATACAATTTTATGAGTAGCATTGTTTTAAATGTAGATTTAAAGGTTTGATGCAAACATTTTAGACGTACACGAGGTCGAACTGCGTGACATATTTGCTGCTTATTCTAATTTAACTCATTGATATAACTTATGCTTGAGTATAAATCTTTAGACATCTACTAGTACACCAATTAACACTTTGCTATGCTTTAATACTTTGGTTCTTTGCAAAACAAATAAGCGGAGGGGAAAATAAATGACTAACGTAGCCCATAAATCGTACTTATTACAAAAAACAAACATTTTTTGGGATTCAAGCATGCTAAAAAATGCTATTGATCGATTTAAAATCCTGAAAGTAAAATAAATAGTTTTTTAATGTATTTTGTGAGAGTGTGTATGTGTGTGTGTGCAAATGCATCACATTTTAAAGTCCTGAGCTTTCCTAAAATCTGCCAAGAATATGCTACCATGGTTAGTTACCAGACAAAAAGAAAACTAATAATAACAATCGCGTAAAATAATAAATAACCATTGTGGTTTTATTTTATGTGTTGTGCAACGCGTTTACGTCTCACCTACAAGACGTAGATATTTAAATAAAATAAATGTTAGTTAAATGTGTAGTACTACTATTGGTAGTAAGGCAGCTGTCTGTATTTACCTCCACCCTGAACAGTACACCACAGCACATCCTTTTGTCTGTGCAATAAAATGATTTGGCTGACGGTTATTGGTGATTGCCGAGTGCGCATTGTCTCAGACCACAGACGTTCAAAGCCAGAACAGTTGTTTTGTACTTGGCAGTGTGAATCCGTGTATCTCTTCCCTTTCTTCCGCTCGGTAATTGTGCCGAAGAGTTTTATTTAAACCCCTACAAAATTGGTACTGGAATACTACTTTGAGTTTTACTTCACGCTTAAAAGAAAGGTACAGTTGGAAATATTATTATTGCATTACCATTTGCTGCTTTGTTTTGTTTTTTGGTAAAGGGAGCATTATTGCACACTGTTTACATTGTGACTAAATGTTTACTGTCTGTGTAGAATTAAGGAAACAGTTTTCGCTAACATAACAACAGATAGTCTGTGTTTGGTGAATTGCCGTTCTGTTGATTTCTCTGTCAATTCTTTCAGATGTTTATTACTTTATTTTCTTTTATCCCTTTTCACTTTTTTTCTGAAATAGCTGTAGCCAAACGTTTAATAAGGTATGGCTTTTGACTTTCAAACTCAGAAAAGTGGAGTAGCAATTATGATAATAGCAAAATAGCCTACGTGTAAGCACAAGCCTAATGATAAACCATGCATTTTTTATCGTAAGGCTTGCAGATCTCCATTTTAGAGTACAGACAAAGAGAGAGAGGGAGAGACTAAAAACGTTGCTTCGGTATAGTCGAATTTTTCTTTCGGCCATGGAGGTAAGTGGCTATGAAACCTAGAAAAATCTTTAAACTGGATAATACATCGCAATGTGGCGCATGGAAACTAATTTAATTACAATTATGGACGTCTTTTATTTAATATACTGTTGTGTGGTTGTGACCAACATAGCTAACGTGGTATTTCTGTGATTGTTTACTAATGCCTTGTAATGCACACGGGGAAATCAACATGGGAGTTTCAGAAATGTAGGCAACCAATGACCTGCCTCATGCGGTTACCTATGAGCCGCTCTCTTAATGACTGATATTGATATATGGTAATTTTTTTACCGGATCACATGACACAATTACCTCAAGAATCGATCAAGATGAATTGCACGTCAGCGTACGTTTCCGATTTTTTCTTCCTCGCGAGTCCTATCCGCACGCATATGGTGCAATAGATGGGCAAAGTTTAACAGTCAAGCAGACGAATTTTCCCCCCTCTCTACGGCTAAAGCGAGCAATGACGGACTACGATGATCGCAACAACTGTGCATCTAATATGTATTTACCATACTACGTCTCTACTCCCGATTTCTCGTCGGTTTCGTCGTTTTTGCCTCAAACTACGTCGTGTCAAGTCAATTTCCCCTATTCTTCGAACATAGCGCAAGTCCAACCTGTTCGCGAAGTGACTTTTAGGGACTATGGACTGGATCATCCGAGCAAATGGCATTACAGGGGCAATTACGCTTCGTACTATTCAACGGAGGAGATAATGCACCGAGATCTCTTGCAGTCCACAAACAGAGCGGAAATGATTTTTAAGAACGATTCCATGTACAGCCATCACGCTGGTACTAACTCCTCGTGCAGTTTCTTCACCAACGTCGGCCGAAACGGGGTACTTCCACAAGGATTTGATCAGTTTTTTGAGACGGCAAACTCCGAGAAGCCCAACCCCGAGCAGTCCAAACAAAAGCCAGATACGAGTGTCCCGGGAGATGCTGCATGTAACCCGTCTACAGATAGCGCGGAGCAGACCAAACAGGACCCGACAGACACCGTGGAGGAGGAATCCTCCGTTTCAACCTGCGATGAAGAAAAGAACAGCGGCTCGAGTAAGTCCAGGCGTTTCACGGCGCTTCAGTCTACTATATTACTTTGTCGGTTAGCTTTTATGTGCCGCTTTATAAGCATGCAAAAGTTTTTATGTAGCTAGTAAGATTCTCTTTGCTGTTGTAAAAATATTTACGATGGGAAAGGCTCTTTGGTTGCATCTCTCTCGAGTGTATGTGTGTGTGTGTTTGTTTATATATGATGTGTATTATATATATATATATATATATATATATATATATATATATATATATATATATATATATATATATATATATATATATCTTACACACAAAATGATTTATGATCAGAAATGTTGAGAAATGATAGGTGTGATGTGAATCGACAGTTAACACATTTCTCAAAATCCTAATTTACAAAGCTCGAGCCTGTTGCTAGTTTCAGGTTTATGTAATAATTTCACAAAATAGCTTTAAACCTAAACGCATTAACATCGCATTAAAACACTCGTTTGGATTACTCTTGTGCGCGCTTGCGTTTGGACGTGGTGTGTGTGTGTGTGTGTGTGTGTGTGTGTGTGTGTGTTTGTGGGTGTGTGTGTGTGTGTGTGTGTGTGTGTGTGTGTGTGTGTGTGTGTGTGTGGGCCGCTTGCATTCGTGTGTATGTCATGTGGCAGAGCTTGTTTTTTTCCGGCATATTTTAATTTCTCTAAGTGTTTTGTTTTTGTACATGTGCTGTGTGTAGCAAATGTTACTGTGAATAACAATGATTATTAATATAGATAATTTGTAGGCTAGTTGATGTGTTGATGGATTTAGCATATTAGTGCAATCATCTAAAGAATTTGTAGTTGTATTGTCACTGAGTTTGAGTTCATTCTAATGTTATCATGTTCTTTTTATAGGTGCGACAAAGTCCAGAAAGAAGAGATGCCCGTATTCCAAATACCAGATCCGAGAACTTGAACGAGAATTCTTTTTCAATGTGTACATAAACAAAGAGAAACGCCTGCAGTTGTCAAGAATGCTCAGTCTTACAGACCGACAAGTGAAGATTTGGTTCCAGAACCGCAGGATGAAAGAGAAAAAGCTGAACCGAGATCGACTCCAGTATTTCACTGGAAACCCATTGTTCTGAAAGTCATGATATTGGCCGCTTCAGGAGACCAAGGCTATTCTGTCATGCTTGTGGGACATCAACCATTCGTCGGACTTATTTTCACCTCAGCCCTGTATTTGTACCACTATGCAAAATACTTGCTATATCAAACAAAAACAAAAGAGTCATTTTATTCGCAACTGCACTTCTGCACAAATTACCTATTGCAGTGTATCCGCAGAGATGGACATTATCAGTTTTCATAGGTACCCCGACAATCTCTTCATACTCTGTGATTGCCATTGAAATGCAGTTGCTTTGTGTTTGTTTGTATTTATTTATTATGTTTTTTTAATTTCAGTTCTTACATTCAATACATTCAAGTAACAACTCGCACTGCGTAATAAGCAACAAACAGGTTTGGTTATATCAAATGAATTCGTTGAGGTAAAGCTGTGTATGCATTTATTCATTTGAAGCATGTATATGTATCAGTGTATTAAATAAAAATACAGGACGTACTTTGCAGTTTTATATCTATTGATGTGACTGACGCCTCTTAATTGTATGTGGTCGTGTAATTCAGCAACAGAGTTTATTAACAATTATGTTCAGCTATTAAATAAGTTGATGTAACCCTTGCATTGCGAAATGTTCGTCCCACTTATCTCTCAGACGATTTTGATTTTAACAGATAGAGAGAGATAGAGGATTTTCCAGTGGTACATTTTATGAGGCTTTAGCTAATTCTTTCCCTTGTATGTTGTTTTACACTATGGCTATTTACTAAACCTTGAACAGTCTAGACAGTACAATAAACTTTGGGCAGTAAATTAAATTGGGGCTATTGGACCCTCTATCCACTTCAACTGCGACTTTGCCCTGAAACACAAAGGGTGCAGATGTGTTTTTTCTCAGAAAAATGTGGACAAACAGCTATGAGTGAACATATATTACAGACTATGTTACAAAAAAGGCCAAGTGTCTGGCTGGAATTACACATCACCTCATTTCTACAAGAGTCTCTGGTTCGAGGCTGTTTACGTCAAGTGTAACACGTGAGCACTAACAGTGACCAGCGTAATTTTCGAGCTTTGTAAAGTTGGATGTTGTTGACTATCTTAAAATGTCGAATCAAATAATGTATTTGAACTTCTGTAATGTCAAGGTCGTCACCCTTAACCTTTTTGAATAAGTAAAGGCGCCGTTTTTGCGGTTCTCTTTGAAAAACTACGCCCTCTCAGAGGCGCCGCAGTGCAGCACGTCCCAATATGGCCGCTGCAGCCCCTCACTGGAAACACAATGGTCGTCCTGCAAATACCTCAGTTAGTCTACCGCTTTCTGGCTACGTTAACTCAGCCAGCTCCACATAGATGCAGTTTGGCCTGATGAATTTATATACAATAAAATCACAAATTAATTTCGTTGTTGTTATTCTTCCTGTAAAGGAAATTTAATGCAAAACAAACAAAGCCGTAATATGCTTATAGTGATCGAGCAGAGCTTTCTTATGCTCACATAATTAACAAGAATCCAAAATGCTGTAAGTGCATAGGGTAATAGTCATGTATTATCAATAGACAATAGGCCAGCAAGCTTTTTGTGTGTTAAAAGACTTATACTATAACATCTTGTTGTTGTTATTCTTCCCATAAAGGGAATTTAATGAAAAAGCAACAATGCCGTAATATGCTACACGGGTAACAGTGATGGAGCAGAGCAGTATGCTCACAGAATTAATAAAAATCTATGTTGCTGTTGGTGCATATATTAATTATCAATAGACAATAGGCTAGCACTTTTTTTGTTGTTAAAATTAAGTATAATAGATGCCTAATTGACGTCTAAGTATATAGTGAAATCACAAATTCATCTGGTTGTTGTTATTCTTCCCATAAAGGGAATTTAACGCAAAAGCAACAATGCCGTAGATAGAGCAGAGCATGAGAATGCCCACAGTATTAATAAGAATACGTTGCTGTTGGTGCATGTTAATTGACACCTCTTATCAATCGACAATAGACCAGCCATATTTTGTATGTTAAAAATAAGTCTATATGTCTAATTGACGTCTAAAAATATACAGTGAAACTGCTAATTAATTTCGTTGTTATTTTTCCCATAGAGAGGGTTTCATGCAAAAGCAACAATGCCGGGTTATAGTGATGGAGCAGAGCTTTTTAATAAGTATGCTCGCAATATTAATAAGAATCGAAAATGCTGTTGGTGCATATGTTAATTGTCATCTCTTATCAATAGACAATAGGCCAGCAAGCATGTTTGTGTTAAATAGAAAGTATATTTTATTCACTAAACACATTTAAAAATTGAAATAGAAAACAATTAAATTCAAGCAAATTATGTTTTAAAAATTACACCCTACTAAACTTCAACTAAATCTTTCCTTTTTTTTTTTTTTTTTTTTTTTTTTTTGCTGCTCTTGGTTTTTTATCTTGGTTAAATTTGTATTTATTATTCTTCTATAATATATATTTGGGTGTATTAGTTTTCGGACCATTATCGTAAGTTATTTTGTTGGATAAGCTCCAGATTTGGCTTTAGTACTGACTAATCTAACGTATCTGCACAAATATTATATTGTAGAGCTTCCTATTGAAAATGTGAATTTAAGAGAGATTTGTGAGGGGTGTACTTATATATGCTGAGCATTATATATATATATATATATATATATATATATATATATATATATATATATATATATATATATATATATATATATATATATATATATATATATAGTAAAATCACAAATTTCTTTCGCTGTTATTCTTCCTATAAAGGGAAATTTCTGCAAAAGCAATAATGCCGTATAATATGCTTATAGCGATAGAGCAGAGCTTTCTTTCTAAGAATCCATGTCGCTGTTGGTGCATACTAATTGTCATCTCTTACCAATAAACAATTGGCCAGCAAATAAATTTGCTTTTTAAAAAAGTATAATGGACGTCTAATGTCTAATTAAGTAAATATATATACATTGAAATCACAAATTCATCACGTTGTTATTTTTCCAATGAAGCGAATTTAATGCAAAAGCAACAATGGCGTAATATGCTATACCAACACAATAGAACAGAGCTTTCTAGTAAATTTGCTCACAGAATTAATAAAAACCCAAAATGCTGTTGGTGCATATGTTAATTGTTTTCTTTTATTAATAAACAAAAGGCCAGCAAGCATTTTTTGTGTTAAAAAGAAGTCTAATAGACGTCTAAATATAGACGTCTTGACTCAATACAATTTGGTCTTGCAACGAAAATCTAATAGACGTACAGGAATAGCCCAAACTACACTATACACTATAAAACGCTTGTTTATTTCAGCATAATTCTGCGTGCAATTCGGTTTAAATCAACTGCTAGGTCAATTTTTGGAATTAATAGGATAAAAGGACCAAATGTAACCCAATGTTTGGGTTAGTCCATATTTTACCCAAATTGGGTATAAATAACCCAGCATTTTTTAGAGTGTAGTCATCAAATGCAAATGAATAAATGACTACACATGTGAAGTCTTATCTATTCTTTATGTTTGATGATCAGTCTAATTTTGGGATATTCTTAGATTATTAGATCCCAGATTTAGCATGGCCATTAATGCTTAAACGTCTATTATTCACAGAATTGCTAGGTGGAAAGTGACTTCTATGTAGAGACAGGATATACTGAAAATACAACTCTGAAGTCTGACACTGTTAGGCTAATTTCTTTCTTGCTTAAAGTGTACAATACAGTGTTTTTTAAACAGAAAACAATTACAATGCACCCTCATTTGTGTGTTCTATAATATACAACTCACTATTTACAACACTTATTTACATTCTGCTGATGCAGCTTGAAGCCACGAGAGGGCGAACTTACAGCAATCATCGGACCTGGTGCTGCGTGTAATCCAAGTGTAGCTGTCCTAAAAAACAATGACTATGATCTTGAGCGGAGTTATGTGCTCTAATCTATTCTTTCGCACATGCACTGTTAGGGGCAATGCGTAATTACTGTTATTCGCTTTGTTCTCCTTTATTTTATTAAGATTTACGCTTTTGCATTACATCCCAGAGTAACCTAAAAGCCTGAAACATACATTTTAGTCCCGGGCGGAGGATATATTTATCTCTGTACTTGGGAGAGTCAATTTCAGTGAACATTTTTTCGTTTAATCTCTGAGGTTAGCTTGATTTTTACTTTAACATTGGATGTTACTATTGCTTTTTTTAAACGTCGACATTTCACTCAAATAAATCAAAACCATGCAGCATCACAATTATACTTATCATTCTTATACTTTTTCGTCGGTGTGATTATATTTAATTTAACAATAATTTTACAGCCGGTTTTGGCAGATACGTTTTATAAGGGTTTAATCATTGTTCAACTTCATTATTTCTTTCAAATGCGCTATTTGCATGGAGACGGTAGACTTGCGTGTGCAATAAAAACATACAATTAAATTTACCTAATAACTGTAGCCATAGGATGCATAAAAATGGATGTATTAAACTTTGCACGCATCTCTACCAGATCCTCTATAATACTTTTAATTTAATTAAATTGTTATACATGTGAACCAGCAATTAAAATAAGCAAAACGGTAGGCTACCTGCAATTATACCTTATTAAGTAGAATGAATGCTAAATGCATTTGTAAATTTAATTGTATGCAATTAAAATAAGCGAAAGCTGTGCCTTTAATTATAAGTTTTTTAGTAGAATGTACATGCGTATTTCTGTAAATTGATATGCGAAATTGTGCATTTAGTTTAGAGGTCAAATAGTAATATAATTCATAATTAGTAGTAGTAGTAGTAGTCAAATGTCAGACATTTAGAAGTTATCACTATTCTCTTTAATATGAAAAATGTGGTCTTACATGAGTGTTAATGTCTGCTTTTTTAGACGTCGGTCCTATTCAGTTATTGTGCAATTTTATTTACTTACTGTATTTATTTAGTTTTTCTAAATTTATTTACATTACTGTTAGAAAAACTAATGATTTAGCGCGCATATGCGTTCGTCTTTTGTCTATATTAATCTATGCGTCATTGTGTATTTGCCTAAAATCACGATAAGATCTCCATATAAACGCATTCCTTGCACTGTAAACCTAATTTAATATCTTAGTATTTTATGTTGAAAATACAATGTTACTAGTTTATAACATTAGATTATACATCTGTAACAATTAATCTAATTCAACTGCATTTATAAATCAATGTGCATTTTCAATGAATCCAATATTTAAATCAAGATTATTTGGTAGCATTTGTAAAATGCTGCTAATGCATTTGCATATCAAAGTGAGCAAATATTAGTATACATGTTTCTGGCTTTTATTTTTTTTAAACGGCAACAATGTGTTACTGCTTAAGATGTGCGTACTTTTAAAGTCTGCAACCTGTAAATGCTCTAATTTTTAATAAGACAAAATTATTTTGAAAATGAATGCTCATTTTTAAAATATGAAACAGCAAATTTAGCATCACACAACATTCAGTTAATTTTAACATTTGAATTGGATTGTAGTTTTTGCTATTTAAGAAACTAACACCGCATTATTATAATGTACTGGGAACATGATACAATTTACTAACCCGCTAACAATTATAATTAAAGAAGTACACGCTTTAATCCCTTGGTTTTAATTTAGAAAACAAAAGCAAACAACAAACAAGTTATTACATGAATTATTACAAAGAATTACATTCGCTTCGTGTCTGGAAAAAAAAATGTGTAACTAGAGAACAAGCAACATTATTTGTGTCGATTAACACGTAGTTATAAAAGCCAAGGAAGAAAGGCTGAATAACAGTTGTGCTTTTCACCCTCAATCCAGATTGCGACAGCGGTGTTTAGGCCGACGCCCGCAGGCTCATTTCATTCTGCATTGTCCTCTGCATTTTGCCTAAAGAAACAGTGAACTATGAGAAAATTATTCTGCAGTACGCTCATGCGTTTCCTATCTTGACCTTGAATTTTAATTCGAAAGAGACCTTGATAGCTTCAAACGCCGTGATTTGTTTTCCTTGTTCGTACTCTTTGTTCACCATGCAGCCGGCCAATATATGAGTCCAGTTCTTTTGTCTTAATTGTGTCCTGAAAATGGATTTAGCAACGCTATTTCGACCGTCTTGAAATCAATTTCAAGTCCTTGTTCTAGGTGTCGCTGTTGACCACGTCTGAAACTTCAAATCATGTGTCAATCCGCCCACGTGACGGGGAAGAGCCTGCGTCTCAAGGCCATTTTCAAATTTCATTGGTGAGAGTGTCATGTGGTTGCAGAGAGACTCGCTGGGTTATACAGGGATTGTTTTGCTAGATATGTCAGCTTACAGAGGACACTTCTCTGCTTCTTAAAACAAAAAAAGAAAACAAAAAAAAATCCAAAATGTCCTTTCCCAACAGCTCTCCTGCAGCAAACACTTTTTTGGTAGATTCCTTGATTGGGGCGTGCAGAACAGATTTTTATTCCAGCAGTAACATGTACATGCCAGCAGCCACTGCAGAAATGGGAACCTATGGAATGCAAACCTGTGGACTCCTGCCGGCTCTTGGCAAACGGGGGGAAGTAAACCACCAAAACATGGACATGACCGTCCACTCGTACATACCTCAAACTGATACCTGGGCAGATCCGAGCAGGTCCTGCCGATTAGAGCAACCGCTCAACCAGATGTCCACCTGCACATTTTCACAAAGCATAAAAGAAGAGACTAACTGTTGTATGTACTCCGACAAGAGAGCAAAGGTCAGTTCGTCTGAGATACCCGCGTACTCCAGCCTGATTCCCGAATCATGTTCTGTTGATAGTCCTGAGATTCCGGTCCCTGGCTATTTTAGACTGAGCCAAACTTACGCGACGGCGAAAAACCCGGACTATGACAACGAGACGATGAGCCCAAACACCACGTTAATGCAGCTGAACAGGGCGACTCCAAAGGCACAGTCAACGCCCTTTGTCGAGGTGGAAAAAAAGCTTGCGCACGATCGGGACACAAGGAGCTCTTCCCCGGCGCAGAGTCCAGAGCCCAAAGTCAGCACGCTGGAGGAGAAGAATTGCTCAACTGAGGCGTCTGTTTCCAGCCCCGAATTGCCACACAGAGAAGGCAAAGGTGGGTACAATAAACGGATTAATCGCGTCTTGGTGTAATGCGAACGCTCTAGCATCATAAAACCCAATATAAAACACAAACAACCCGAAAGTCGTAATGTTTAATGGGAGTCTTACTCAGGTTGCAGTAAAAGCCTTAACAGGAAACGGCGCTGCGAGGGCGCGTTAACATCAAATACCTTTTGTTGCAAGTGACTTGACATTCTTCCTTGGCCAATATAAGCACAGCCTCGGTGGAAAGTATTTGTGACTTCGTCCATTCAGCACGGAAATTAACGTTCTGTTTAATATATAGTAATCATCAGTTGCCATTCATTTGATACCGAGGTAAAGCTCGGGTTGTGGACGAGCAGAATATAAATATGAAAACCTCATACCTATAAAGTGAATTGATTATAACCTGGTTTTACTGGATAGTTTGGGATTTAGCTTATAAAAACAACACAAGCTCATGTGTTACATAATACAATGATGAAACATTAACATTTATTTAGTTAACGCTTTATTACTTAACTTCAGTGGGAATAATTGTGTGATGAAAGAACAAGCGAGGCCACATTGGGCATATGCGTATAACGCAGTGCGTTAACATGTGCATGCTAAAATATGATATCTGTTTGAATCCCCTGTTAATTTTTATCTGGTAAAAAAAAAATGTTTTATTGTCATTTGTGCATGGCTGGCGCTGTTGTTCACTGTGTGCTTTTGTTTTGCAGAATCTAAAAACGACACACCGACGAGCAACTGGTTAACCGCGAAGAGTGGAAGGAAAAAGAGATGTCCATACACAAAACACCAGACCTTGGAATTAGAAAAGGAGTTTTTATTCAACATGTATCTGACTCGGGAGCGCCGTCTAGAGATAAGCAAAAGCGTCAACCTGACTGACAGACAAGTGAAAATCTGGTTCCAAAACCGCAGGATGAAACTCAAGAAGATGAGCAGAGAAAACCGTATCCGTGAACTGACGTCCAATCTCACTTTTTCGTGAGCACGCAGACAAGTGCAAATCAAAAACCTAGTCCCTCATTTCGGTCCATCTATGTTCTCCTGTGTAATGATGACATGATGGCAGTGTGCATTGTTTTTGGCTACTTTCACGTTGCAGTCTTGTGATCGTCGCTAAATCCTTGTCATTTATTGCTGCATCTTTGAAATGTACATTTGAAATGTGAAGCTTTGTGTAATTATCATGTTACACAGGGTATACAAGTGGTGTTAGGTCTTAACTTATAAAAGAAGATAGAAACCGGCTATTTCTGACGGCTTCATTTCAGCGGGGATAGAAGAAAATGTCGCAAACACATTTGCGTCAGCCTCTAAAAAACAAAAAGTCTTGGACAAGAAAGCACATTTGAAAGTGAAGATTACCCATTCTTTCTCCAGTGAAAACGTACATTTGTCTCAAAATAATAATGTATTTCTGTATAATAGGTGTTTAAATATGTCTGTATAAGTGCATGTTTGTGGCATGTGGTCAATAGACTAATAAATTGATTATGTCATTATAGCGTTTGGTGTCATATTTGGTATAATTGCGCTTCTAAGCCACATCAAAACCATAACCTCCAAAACACACACACACACATATACACACGCGCAATGAATGACAAGTAAATACAAAAGCATCTACTAATATTTTAATAGTACATACAAGCTAAAACACACGCAATCCTACATGTAAATAAGCGGGTTTTATGTATACTAACACATTTTCATGGTTTCCTCTGTCTTACTGTTATATATTTTACCTTCTTGTTCTTTTTCGGCTATTATTACACGTATATAATAGTGTTAATTGAACCTACTAGCGTTTTAGCCTATTTGTTCTCGAAAGTTTATGTGTTCTGATCAACGAAAATGTCGTGAAATGCTTATTTTGCCTTGGAATTGTTTACTGATGCTACGGAAACTCATAATCAAAATGAAATCATCGCCACAAAAGGAATCGGACAATGCAAATTAATTTAAACACCAAAAATAAAATAAAACTTGGCCTTAATTAAAACACCAAAAATAGCTATTTCCCTGTACGTCTAAAACATCAATTTGGGGTATACCAGTTCCCAAATTAATTTTAGATAAAGTGCACCAAACGGATAAAGAGGCTTGCCATAGCATTAGTTTTCAAAACGCCATAGTACAAATAAATTTGCCATATTATGACTATATATGTATCGTTTCTTTCTTTATATATATATATATATATATATATATATATATATATATATATATATATATATATATATATATATATATATATATATATATATAATAAAAGGGTAGGAACTAAAATACATAAATACATTGTTATATACACACACAAGCAACTGTGATGCATTTTAGTCCCTAGCAGCGACCCTTTTATAATGTAGACTACACAAACACAATGCCATACGTAGGGTAGTTTGTCTGCACATGCTTAGATGTGTTCAAGTGTGTGGCCACAGATGGCAACACTTTATATTTTTGACCAAAATTGTAACAGTTAAGCACTTAGTGACAACTTGTCGACTAATAACATTATACCACATTGTTTTTCGCGCTCAAGTTATTTTCTTAAATTAAGAAGAAATATGTAGTGCATTCCGTTTTATATTTCCCTCGTGCTTTCTAAATCCCTCTCCACGCAAATGATCTACTCGGTCTTTAAACTTTTATTTTAATTAAATTATAATGTGACGCAGCAACATCCGCTTTTCTTTTCGTTTTTTTACAATCAGTCATACCACAAAGAGCTCGCCACTATACAATGCTCAGCTTGTTGTATATAAAAAGGCTACAATATTGCCATGTTATTATTTTTATTTTATGTAATGATAGACATGTAGGTCAAGACACTTTTAAATGCCAAGAGTCTGTTTTATTAAGGGAACATTAATACATAATCAAATGCACCTCATAAAATGTTTTATTGATACACATAAAATGCTATGACTCTCTTTTCAATAAGTACCAAAAATATACAAATATTGCTTCCTCTGTCAATCTTACAACACCTCACAGTTCGTATCAAACCAACAAAGACCAAATTACAGATCTTAGCAGTGACGAGCGTTTGTAAAATATGAGAATCTTTGAGGCTGGTGGTTCGTTGTTTTACAGCATGTTATTACATTTATTTTACGAGGACTTGCAACTCGGTACTCTATAAAATACTTTACAAGGCTAGAGTATGACATACCTTTATGACGAAATTTTGCAAGATTTTACACTGCTAGAATCGTTTGTTAATGTATCAGTGTTGAGTGCTGGCACTGAAATAAATGGGTGCATTAATCTGCCCTTGTAAAAAAAAATGAAGTCGGATAGTTTAAAAACATGACGAATGAAGATTAGTGCTAGCTACTAAGTTTAGATAAGCATTATTTATCTGATATAATTTTTTTTCCAAGAGTACAAAATCCAACATACCGTTATCAGAGGACTGATTTACTCTCTGTATTAGTAAATATGATCACGTGATTCATGTAACCAATCACTGAAGGTGAAGGCAGCAAAAATACTACGATTGTTCGGAGGCAAGGTTTCGGAAACAGAGTACCGTTTTATATGAGTTCGAAGGGATCCAAAAATGTCGACTAGTTCAGCTCTCAGCAGTTATTATGTGGACACTATTATGGGGCACGAGGCTGAGGATGTGTACGGAGCGCGTTATATCCAGGGTTCTCACACCGCGCCCGCGAGGCCGTCAGGTGTGGTTGAAAATGCGGACTTTTCCTCGTGCAGCTTCGCTCCCAAATCAGCCGTGTTCCCTGCGTCCTGGTCCTCGGTTCATCAGCCATCTACTGCTGCTGTGTCCGGGATTTACCATCCATACGTTCACCAGACCCATCTTTCAGACAACAGATACGTCCGATCCTGGATAGAGCCAGTCGCAAACCATATCTCTTTAACGGGCTTCCACCCCAACAGTCGGCACAGCGGTACAAAGACTGAAAGTTTACCCCCGAAAAGGACCGAAAGCGCCGCGTTTGAAACGGAGACACCGTCGGTTCCCGAGTTTAGCTTAAATGCTGTGTCCGAGAGCGCGGACAAAGCTACCGAAGAAAGAGTTGGAAGTGATAATTCGAGTCACGGTGAGCCTAAAGACGAAAAACAACAACAACAACTTGACCCAAGTAAGTAAAATGAATTGCCCCGTGATTTACAGCTGTCGAAGTGTCCTAAACTGGAGGTTTTACAAACCTATAAAAGTGTCCAGGCGTTTACCACGGGCCGAAATTTTTCATTTATCCCAAAAGTGGCTATTTTAAAGCATTATACATAGTTGTATTTACATATCAACTAATTTAATACACAAATTACTAAATAATTGAATGGATGAATATTAAAATATATCCATATATATACATTGTGCTTTGGACGTGACCTTTAATTGAGTGACTTGACGATGTGAAGCCTGTTTATTTTATTGTCTTATTTTTCTGTTTTTAGGCAACCCTGCTGCCAACTGGATCCATGCGAGATCAACAAGAAAGAAGCGTTGTCCGTACACCAAATATCAGACTCTGGAATTGGAAAAGGAGTTTCTTTATAACATGTATTTAACGAGGGATCGTCGCTATGAAGTTGCACGAATCCTGAATTTAACAGAGCGCCAGGTGAAAATCTGGTTTCAGAACAGAAGAATGAAAATGAAGAAGATGAACCGAGAGAGGAGCAGCAAAGATCCGTAATGGAAAGCGTGCAAGAAGCTAATGCGCGTTTCTTTAGCACGCTTGGTTTAGGATACAAGTTTTGTCCATTTTTTGTTTTAGTCACTCAAGATTAAATTGGCGTATATTCTATTTAATTTGATATATTTTTAAATATATATATTTTTTCCTCAGATAATAATTAGTATTTGAGTAACTTTAAATAAAAGGGTATTTCAATCCTCCTAAATTGTATTTCCCAGGTCTGAGCATTTCTTATTTTGCACAGTGTCAGCATACTCATACTCATTTAAATATCTTGCAAGTAATTAGGACATCTGCTAGTTCTTAATCTGATGATCTGATGAGATTTAAATATTTGTCCACAATGCATGCAAATAGCCTACCTTCCATCTTCATACAGCCACATGTAGTCATTTACTGTGCCATTAATTTTACTTTTTCCTTTTTTTAATTGGACCTTTTGTACAGTCTCATTTTGATTCTAGTGTATTTCTCGTTGAAACTGTTGTCGCATCGAAAAGGTCTAAATTATAAACTAAAACGAACTCATTTTTGGTCTGTTTTATTCCTGTTTGTTTGTCTTTGGTGGTGCTGTAGAGTGAATTTGGGCGTAAACCCTTTGTTGAATACCCAAGTCGTGCACTTAATAGACTACTGTGAAAATATGTTTCCTTTTAGACCAATTTTAATTAATAAATCCAAAATCCGACAGCACACTACTTGTGTACCGATATTTTAAATAACAGCAATACAATGCCACATAATGCGACAGAACAATTAGTTTAATTCTGAACACAAAATAGAGATCTTTGTTAGCGAATACTGCTTAAAAAAAGTTTATGATTAGAAAAAGGTGTTGCAAGAAAGCCCAAATTATCGTCAAACCTGCAGCAAGAATTGCTTTAGAGCAGGAAGAAACGGGGTCCAATAAAGCTATAGAAAGAGCTAGACGTCTGGACTAAATGAGTTTATGGTACACGACTGTAATTGCTCTTCTCTTTGAAACTAACCTCACTGGTTCTTTGTGTGTGTAACTTGCACACAACAAAACGTAGACACTTTTTCCTACGGGGCGTCTGGTCGATGCTATTGATAGTGAGTCTAAAGTGCCATCGACCCCCACTACACTGAAAGTCAGGTTTATTCACGAAAGGCATCTCCTCTGCACGTTTTGAGTGTTGATATTACAACAAAATTTAACAGGGATTTACAAATGTTTTAAAGTTTAGCAAAGGGGTTTACTAAACAGTGGTACACGCAAGCTGCGTAGACTGAAAATATAGCTACAACACTAATTTAAGTGCATCCAAAAACACATGCACCGTGCTAGCAAAGATGAAATGGAAATAGAAATAAATAAAATAATAAAAAAGGAAAGACAGAAGCTTAAATAATGCATTCTGCAATTTTCAAAGTGTGCATTATTAAACAGGTCTGCACATTATTGCCACTAGAGGGCATTCCTGTTCTGTACAAATGCATTGCCAGAGGCTGTGCACACTTACTTAAAGGAGCTTAATGAAATATTTAAGCATGAAAACTACTGGCAAAAATACAAAATACGCAAAATATTAAAGAATGATGATATTACGGGATGAACATTCGCGGCCAGTTTACATGGATATAGCGCATCTGTAGCACTATGCAGCGTCTGTTTTGAATAAAACTATAGATCTAGATGAAGAACAAAAACAGGAATCTGGCCTGTGAGTATATTAGCGATATACATCTGTGTGGATATTTCAGGTTTTAAAAATATGAATAAACAGATAAATGCATAGGCCTAAATTAATATTGTGGAAAGTTCTACCTATTACGACGGTTTCGATCGAGATTCCAAACTATCAAACTGGCTATTGTTGTTATTATTATTATATTAGGATATATATTAATAATAGAGAATAAAAAGGAAATGTTTTTGCTCTTATATAAAGTATTTTTCCATTAACAGTAGCTATACTTTGGCAACTGTTATGCATTTTTACACCTTACAACGTTTTCGCTCGAGAATACGAACTAAAAGTTTCTATGATTATTATTATTATTATTATTATTATTATTATTATTAGATCATATATATATATATATATATATATATATATATATATATATATATATATATATATATATATATATATATATATATTATTAATAGAAAATAAATGCACTAAGCGACTGCTAGATTATTTTACATTCTCTTGATAAAAGTAATTATCAGGTTATAAATCAGAGCAGAAATAAAAAATAAGCTTTACTCAAAAGATACAACAGCATAAATAGCCTACACACTACCTGCCGTATTACTTGTAATAACCTCTCGTGTGCTCTATCGCAAAAAATAAATATATTTACGGCAAAAGTGAATGGTTCAGCTGTTAAACGTGGAATATTTTACATTAACAGTAGCTAGGCTTTATTAATGCATTTGCTGTTATACAGAAAATGTTGAGTCGAATATGTGTGTGTTTTAAAACAGCGAGGCAACTTTCTGGTATTGGCTACCTGGTATTTGAATTGTACTTCAAGTTTAATTTTAATCTTTAATGGCAAATTATTTTCAATAAACCGCGAAATTTACTGGCGGTTTCTGAGTAGGAAGCAAATCTAAATGCATTTAACTAATAAATGAAATGCAGGCTAATGCAAAAGGCCGCATATGCACCCAAAACAAGTACAGTTCCTGAACGTAAATGGAAAAGAGCAAAACATAGGCTTAATCTAATTTTCCTTTCCTTCCTCTCCCTCCCTGTCCGTCATGTGATCTGTAACTAAAAGCAAACGTGTTTGAGGCATGCAGGACCGCAGAATCTGGCTATGGGCCTGTTCGAGCCAAATACACCATTCAATAACAGCAGCTCTCAATCATATCCAATTCCACTGGCATTAATAATAACGATCTGACAGCATCAATGAGTTCTCACTCCGTCGATCTCTCCGCATAACACACACTGGGTGAAGTATTTTCTCCTGCGGATCAACATTTCCACAAGTCAGATGCTGCACGGTAGGCCTGTGTGGTGGCGTTTTGGCGACGGCCAGCCCTGATGCGATAATTTTATCTGTTTGGGAAATCTGCGGCACAGAGCGCCAGTTATCAGTCGGATCCTCGCGGAATTACGTGTCACAGCGACCGCTCTAAATTTTACGCGCACGATAACTTTCAAAGACAGCGGGGTCTTTACGACACTCCGAGCGGCCGGGTCGCCACAGTACCGGGCCTGTAAATCGTCCCGTAGAAACACTGGCTCGGAACCAGCGTGCCTAAATCAGCGCTCGCCTGCATCTCAGATGTTCCCCCGGATGAAACTTCAAGGTTGTGTGCCATAAAATCAGTTTTCAGATTAGCGTATAGCTTCACTTTGATTACAAAGGAGTTTACATTCAAGACCGTTTACCCCCACGTTTTTGGCCTATTAGGTAAAAAAAAAAAATCTAAAAAAGAAAGACAAAATGCACAAAGATCACCACGATTAAATTGTTTATTTAGTTCGTATCATTTCAGAAGCTTTGTCATCCGTTGTATGCTTCATGCAATGCCAGTAAATCAAGTGTAAACTACAAATAATCAGGCTACAGCACACGGGTTAAAACGGCAAATAAACAACAAGCTAAATTGCAATGTTAAAAAATGTAGGGTTATTTAAAGCCAAATTTGGTAAAATGTTGACTAACCCAAAACATTGGGTTAAATTTGGTGCTATTAATTTAATGAAAAAAATCCAGCAGTTACGTTAGTCCATATTACACCCATAATTGGGTACAAAAAACGCGTATTTTTGAAGGTGGTCCATTCTAAAAACTGGTTATAAAGAATAAATATCGCAATTTCTTGGTGAAAATGCAGTTTATTAAGCAATACAAATTGTATTACTAACTATTATAGTGATTTTAATATTCTTGATTGTATTACTTCCGTCCGAAAGCTATTTATTATTTGTGCTAAAAAGGTTACACTAAATATAGGCCTAATCAGGATTTCTCTCTCTCTCTCTATATAAAAATTGTTCGGCAATAACCTGGTATGTATATCTCATCTAACACCTCCGTCCACATTGTCGGCCTATATCAGTATTTCCCCCCCTCAAGACAATAGAGATTAACGCAAATGCAGGGGATTAAATTTAGGTTTTAAAAGACGACAAAAATATAACCAAAATAACTAAAATATTGACCATGTTTCTGTCTGTATATGTGTAGCCTATATAAACTACGTAGACAAACAGATTGATATGTATTGATCAAAGAACATTGTAACCGTGCATTGTGGTTTCCTAAAAAGCTAAATAACCAACCACTATAATTAAATTTAAATTTCTATGGTGACTTAATAAATCTGAATAAATACTATATTTAATGGTATAAATATAACATAGGGTAATCCTACATTTAGAAATTAACTAAATACACGTATTCTTAGTCTATGCCGTTTTCGCGTATATTTACAGCGTATATTATTATTATTATGAGTATTAGGTTAAACTTAGGCACGTAGATAATCATTATATGTGCATTTATTGTTGTTAGATCCCCAGTTTACTTGGCTAACGTGTTCTTTAATAAATTACATCAAATTAGTTTATTTGAAACATTTCATGCGAAAGAACACATATAAAATTCATTTTAGCGCGTCTACCATTTCTCTCTCTCTCTATCAGTCTCTCTGTTTCTGCTATCTCTCCTTCACACACCCACAGACACACTCTCTCTTAGCAGATGTCTGTGACTGTATTTTCTTTGCTGAGGAAGTGCAGCTGGCTCAGTCATTATGCGCAAAAAACTCGAGGCTTTGCGGCAGCCCAGATTCCTTTTTTTGTTACAAGACAATTTACAGCTTCGTAATAGATCTTTTTATGAGCCTATTTCGTCTGTCATTGGATGCCACTGGTCATGTGCAGCACGCAAACGTCTTCATGACCCCTTTTCCTGATTTCCCAAGCGATTTTTCCACTACATTCTGTGGCTAAAGCCTCCAAATACAAAATACACTGTGTGCTCATGTAATTTTCTATGTTAAAGATCGAGCAGACAAACTCGAGGCTTTGGTAACCTGCATTACCAATTGCGTGTGTTGTCAGATGCTAGCTTGATGTGTGCTACAAGAGCTAAACAGAGCAAGCATTACAGTACTGGACGACAGACTTTGAAGCACGCTTCATAATATTCAGCACCATCGCCGGAGGCAAACCATGGATTACACGGCTTTGTTTGGTAAGTTTTTATTTAATAAGATATTGAACTTGCTGGAAACCAAAATGCCATCGTGTCATTCAGAAGCTACAGGATCAGCAGGTTATTCGTTTGTGATAATAATAGTTTTACATTGTGACAGCAGCATAAGTAGGCTAAAAAAACTATCTTGCTTGATGTTTGGTTTTTAAATTAAAATTGTGTTTCTGTTTAATTTAATTTTAAGCTCAATTATATTTTTAAATAAAATAATGCTGCTGGTCTTCATTAGATCTTACAATCTGTATTGTACTGCATTGCATTTTGGAAATGTTTAATTTGAGACATTATTATATCATCATTGTTATTATTACATTATTATGAATGAATGCTTAATTCAAAATCACTGATGTTATTTGCATTAGTGTTCGTATTATTATTGTGTCACTACCTAGTGTTATAAATCTTATTTAACCTTCAAATTAACACTGTTCACCACCAACTGCTAACGCATATTTACTATATTTTGCCACTACGTTTACTTATAAAATTTACAAGTCGATAACACAATTTATTCGACCATTAACACAATTTATGGCATTTATATATAGTTGCAAAATATATATCTTCATTCTGTGCATTAAAATAACGATTCTGTATTTATGTTCAGGCATTATTTCCTCCACAATAATCTACTCATGCATGAAAACAGCGATTTGCATTGTAAAACTGTTGATTCTGAAAGTTTATGAAACTGTGGAGGTGCAGATGTTGTTCGTTTTAATGTATGCCACCCTTTATGGTGAGAATGGCGCAGTTTTTTTGGGGAAGAGAGAGAGAGGGTCTGCGGAACAAAGACAGTATTTCACAGTCAGCTGACAGGCCGCTGCAGAGGTATTTACAACCTCTCTGCAATGCGGCAAAAACAGGCGAGAGGAGCCTACAAACGAGGAAACCGTAACCAAAACGAAGATAACATTTATTCACTTAGCCTACTAAATACGCTACTTTTTGATGGTTTTAACTTGTAATACAGGCAAATAGTTTATTGAAATAAGATATTGTTGATTATTATATATAAAACTTTTATAAAAACGTGCTTTTATAAAAACTATTTCCTTCATAACTATGAGAAGGTAATTGCAAACCACTTACAACCAATTTTCCTTTATTCTTTTAAATTAAATTCTTATTTCAAAACTCATTTAGATATATAGATATATATAGATATAGTTATACTTGGCAGCCAATAAGTTATGCATGCTTTAATATATATTTGCATGCTTTAATATATATATATATATATATATATATATATATATATATATATATATATATATATATATATATATATATATATATATATATATATATATATATATATATATATATATATATATATATATATATATATATATATTAAAGCATGCATAACTTCTTGGCTGCCAAGTATAACTATATTGAATTATTATCTAAGAAATATATGTAATAGTTACACTTTAAACATGCTCAGTTATTTCAACACAATTGTGGGTGTAATACGGACTAAACCAACTGCTAGGTTATTTTTTTATTATTAAATGAATAGGACCAAATTTTACCCAATTTGGGTTTAAATAATCCAGCATTTCTGCGACTAATAGCTATAAATAGCGTAATAGTTATGTGACATTCAAAGTAACTTCTAAAATAGTAAGATAAAATCTTGTAGCAGTGCTGTACTACTGTATTAGCAATTTGAAAGAACGAGAAAAAAAAGGTTTTCCATAATGAGGAAGGCTCGCCAACACCTAGGCAGTGCATGCTTTGGTCGGCAGGTGGTGCTGCTGTCTAACACTATGCTGCTTGCTTGCCCGCTGTCTGCATCTTTGTCCTCGAGGTCATTTCCTGTGATTGTGATTGGTTGTCGCAGTCATGTGACAAAACAGCCAGGGCTGCGTTTCCCAAAAGCATCGTAAGCCTAAGAAGTTCGTAGAAATGATCGTACGACTGATCTTAATATTACGGTCTGTTTCCCAAAAGCATCGTAACTTAAGTAGCACTTGAAAATCTTCGTGGATCTACGAGTGCTCTGGAGTAATCGTAAAGCCTTAAGTGCATCGTAAGGAGACAGAGTTATGAGGGCACCTGCTGGACAACCGGCAAATTGCACCTACAATTTACTTCTCTTCAAAGTCATTATTCATATTATTTGTACGTATATCTCTATTCATTTATATTTTCTACACATTACACAATTCAATATACAAATAATAATAATTAATAATTAGGCTAAACTTTTCAAAAATAAATGTAAGAGCTTATTTATTTATTTATTTATTTATTTATTTATTTACTTATTTATTTATTTTGATGTGAGATAAGCAATTTTTGATAAAGAAATTGATAAATAATTCTACTTAATTAAGGTTTCATATAAATATCGAAAATGATGCTGATGTCATTTCCGGCAAGGACTGTTAGAATTAGTTTTATGCGAGATTGGAGCAAGACAGTGTTTTTACAGTACGACATTTCCAGTTAATTTATGTTTTTAAACTGGCTCAAAAATATTTTTTTTTTATGTTATTCGAGTTGAATATACATTCACACAAGTAGAAGAAGAATTATATGGATTGCTATAACATGTGCAACAATAACGAGCCATTCTATAGCGTGACATTTCAGCACTTAACAAACGGATAGCGACTCCTAAGTTGCACTTAAAGCTGGGCTACGTGCAATTGTGTTAAGTGCATTTTTGGGAAACGCACGTGAAACAATAACGAACGTTCGCAAAATGACTCGTAGAAAACGCTCTTAAGTGCTAAGATCAATCGTTATCGGGAAACGCAGCCCTGACTGTTCTCATATTAACAGAAATGTTTCATTTTAAGGCTGAAGACAAACACTGCATGCAGTACTTTTAATGTGTGTGATTTTTTAAAAAAAAAATTAGGTGCACATATTGCTTAGCCTTTAATAGGTTACATTTATTAGATAGCAAATATTTTGAGCTGTTAATTGAGTAATCAGTGTCTCTTATGGTTAACTCATCAGAATTATATGTATTTTAATTTTAAATTCCCGGAAAAAAATAAAGTCTCCTACTAGTAGCCTATATAGTCTGCATAAAAAAAGTTTCCCAGCTGCCCTGTGTGACTTACATGAATCGCCATTTGGCGCTAAAGCGTATTTTCCCCACCGCTTTCACTGTGCGTTTTATTATATGTTATTTTACCTTGGATTTAAAGTCAGAAAAATGCCCCTATTAATTCACACGTCAGAGATTTCACAAACACCTCATTTGTCCCACGAAGGATCTCGAAATAACGCGCACGCCAAAGCCCTGCTTAGGAATTATGCAGCGTATTCGCCAAAATATATTTCAGACATTATCCTACTAGGATTTAAGAAATAATCTGTGGTTTTCGACAGTCTAGTTCTCCCCCCTCTGAGTGCAGTGAATGGGAATTGCACCCCGTGTCTTTATTTCCTCCTGAGATCAGAGTAATCGCCATTATTGAATAAGTGCAACTTTCAGGATTATTTATGGCACCCGCGCGCTGTCATGAATGGCTGTGGGGAAGCACGTGATACCATTAAACTTTGTTTTATGGCCAGGGAGTTGACAAGCCAAAATATAATTCACATTGTATATTAGAAAGGTCGTTCAGACGGTTTTAGAAAAGATCCCAGCATCGCCGCCGAGGAAAGACGCTCCACGCGTATTTTGATCATGGATATACAAATTTGCCGATGCGTTTTTGGAGATACGCCTGCTTCTGGAGGTAAGCTTGGGTTCAGTGAACTTGGCTGAATTGTGCTGTGATGTTTGCTGTGGTTTCACAAAGCTAAAGTCAGCCTTCAAAGCCAGCTCTGGTTTGTTTCTGTGAACTCATCGTGTGTTGTTGCGCAGCTTTGGGTGGTTGGATAACTATGGAGAGGGGGAAAAATGGTTGTAATGGAGATGACGTAAATGTTATGCAGTAGTCCGTTTTTGATGCAGTTGTGGCGCCACGTTATGAAAGATCGTTTCCTTTGCTCTTGGGGGGTTTTCTTGTATCGAATTGTTGCTGTTATTATTAATATTATTTCTTAAAATGCACTAAATGTATTAAAATGCAATTATTTAAAAGCCTTGGGAATGTTTAATATGTCAAATATTATTGCAGTCTATAATGACTTCAGAGTGTGAAATACGCATATATTTAGAGTAGTCTTTTGCTGACTGTATTTATAAATACGACTGCACTACATTGAATGTTTTATATTAGTCTATATGGTATATATAAATGTTTTGCTTTGCATTTGATTTACAAATTAGAGTCACAACTTTACAGGTTGTTTTGCGGGGCTTTATGTGCAGAATTAAATGTGACAAAACGAAGTAGTAGTCTATTTATTCACTATTAACTCTGAAACCTGTACTGACACAGTTTCAATTATCTAGAACATCTATGTTAAACTGCTTTGGCACAATCTACATTGTAAAAGCGCTGTAGAAATAAAGATGAATTGAATTGAACTATACACGCACTTCCCTGGATTATAAGTGAACTTTAATAAGCAGGTTTTCGGGGTTATATTGACAAGCTCTCTAGCGCCCCCAGGCAAAAGAGTCATTTCTGTCGTTATTTATACTTTATTTTAATAATTATATTTAAATTTAAATAAACACTGTCTGCTTAGAAAGCCATGATAATTAATACCTGTATTAAATGCTTTGGATTAAGAATAGCAATTAAATTATGTTCATATTATAAAGGTAAATACAAACATAATAATTTAGCCACTGCTTTAGCCAAACATTATATCAGCTGAATGACGATTGCGTGCTATTTAATTATTGAGTTATAACTGTGAAGTCTATAAACAATAAAAAATATGTGTATTTTTAAAATGTTTAATATTAGTAAAACACTTGAATGGGGAAATAACTATATTTCATCGTTCTATAACTTATTTTCTTTTTATATAGATAACTTTTTGTATAAGTATAAAATATCGTACTAAACAATAACATATCGATTAATAAACAATGACCTATCTAAACCTAGAAA